ACAACCCCAGTCCCCAATTGATTCGGATAAACAACGCTCTACTGTATCAATTTATAAGGAAATTTTTTGTAAATTCAAACAATCACTATAGAAATTTAAGGAGTCAACCTGTTTATTTCTGATGAAATGTTTTTGGAGACATTTCATCTTGTCATATTGACACTGAACAAATTCAAACACAGAAAAAGCTAAAAACCTTTCATCTGAAATAAATGGGTTGATTTATAGGAATTTTTTGAATTCAGTAACTCTTTGATAATGGATTACTGAATTCAAGGACATTCAGTCTAATTTGAACTAGTCTTACTTGTTAGAGTTCTCCACAGTGAAAAAAAGCCAAGCAATTCACTCGATGTCATTGGATATTATCAGTGGTGATATTCGAAATATTTAACGAAGGGTTCGTTAACAGAAAATTTTTTCTTAACAATTTTTTTTTGCTCAAATGGTGCATTAGCAACATTAGCACAAAAACTGACCTTAAGATACCCATATAAATAAAAAAGATGTGTTTGCAAAATTAAGTCAGTTAAAATTTAACATTTTTTATGCCAGAACTATATATATAGTTCTGGCATAAAAAATGTTAAATTTTAACAGACTTAANTTCGATGTTTGTTTTATATTATATTTATATTATATAATAAAATCATGGTACAGAACCGCAGTATGGAATAAAAAAGTACAGAACTGCGGCTCCCATGCATTTTTGCAAAACCTACATTTCGGCTCCCACTGAACTCTTGCTTGCTCACCTCTGCTTTATAAGTGTTTTTCAACCTGTGGGTTGCGACCCCCAGAGGGGTCACAAAGCCTTACACGGGGGTCGCGGGTAAAAAAAAAAAGACAAGTGTTTGTAGGTCCCACACTACAATAAAAAAAACCTACAATTTCATTGAGAAGGCTGGGCCTGTTTATTTTACAGTACAATTGGTTTTTCAATCGATATTTAGGTCTCAACAGAAAGAAAATTAAATACGTAGTTTTAAAATCACTGATATAGTTTTAATATGGCCCTGGGGTCGCCAAAATTTTTTAACTCGTAAAGGGGTCGCGTATTCAAGAAGGTTGAAAAACACTGCTTTATAACAATTAAAATAAAATTTAATATCTTGATAAATAATTTATATTTTTAAGATGATTAGATACTGATTTCAGTAATTATTTGATTAAAATAAAATTTTATATAGAGAAACAGCTTTAGATAAATTGATAATTTTAGTGAAATCTGTTTATCAGAATTGATTAATCTTTGTTCAAAAGCCAAAAGAGCAAAGATCAGATATTCTTTTGATTAAATTAATAATGATTAGACTATATAATGTAATTTATTTGTTACAGAAATGCAAAGAATAATTAGAAACTAATTTTAAATTTGTTATATGTAAAAATAACAATAAATCTTTTTAATTTAATGATGTTAAAGATTTATATATGTCTACGTTATTTAATGATATACAGTATTTAATTTAAAACATAATATAGTATATATTTATATATCAGCCATTTTTTTTAACTCTCTGGAAGGCATAAAGATGCTCTCTCTTTTATGCCCATTGTTGATTTGAGGANCCTCACCCCATTTGACAAGGAAGTTTTTGTCAACTTTCACTCCTTCTGATGATGTCTTGCTTTGTTTCAATTGAAATCACCTTTCTGTTTTTTTTAGAAGCCATGATTTGCACAACACTTGAATAAATCTAAATACCCTGCACTGAGGTGATGTATTGTACGTAATAAACAAGGGAGCAAGCCGAAACCCAACGGAAGCTCTGTACTTCAGATATACTAATAATATATTTTAATTATACTAATATATTATAAAAATAGCAGATTGTCATTGGCAATGGCAAAAGAGTGGAAACATCATTCGCACTTGTTCGCAGAAAGATCGTTGTTCACCTCACATAACTGCCGAACGGAAAGTCTGTTGTTCGCAACCAGTCTGTTGCTCGAGTCACGTAACGGCCAAACAGAAAGCCCGTAGTTCGCAGCGTCCGTTATTCGAGGAGTANATAGCGATATACTAATATACTAATTACATGGGATATAATAATATACTACACTAATAATGGATTTTTTCATACTTTTCGGTTATCCGACTTTTCAATTATCCAACCAACCCCAGTCCCCAATTGAGTCGGATAATCGAGGCTCTACTGTACATATATTTTAATATATTTTTTAAAAGAAACAAAACCACTGAGAAATGTTACATGTGTTTAACAAGGTTCAGAAAACTTTGAAAATGTTAACAATGGGTTTGGCTGAACCTGTGCAAACCTGCTGAATATCACCACTGGATATTATCAATGTTAAAAGTTTTTTTCTGAGTTTATTTTAAAAATGATTACTATTAATTGATAGAAATAAACCAAATGATTAAAGTATCTATGGAATGACAAAATTACTATATTTTTTACTGTTGAAATTTGTGATTTCTTTATTTTTTCTGGACTCAGGACCGGTTAGCACTCCTTAGGCACCAGGTGAGGTTTGACGACAGCACTATTAATTTTATGTCATCTCTGCACTAGCAATTGTTCTATTGACCAGGTCCTATGCTGAAAGTTTTACTGAGTGACTTATATTCTATTAATTAATTAATTTAATATGCATACTGGATACACTCCTTGATGCGGGAATCAATACCATCTCCTCCACAAAAAAANAAAAAAAAAAAAAAAAAAAAAAAAAAAAAAAAAAAAAAAAAAAAAAAAAAAAAAAAAAAAAACGCTTAGATACAATGAACATAAGATCACAGACAAAATTATACAATAATAAATTATATAAATAATAATTTAAAATCCCCACTTACATGCCAAACTAAAAAGACAATTACTCAGGTCTTCCATAGAATCAAACTTATTCGACACACATATTTCCTCCACAGCCAACCTTAATTCATCCTTTCTAGATTTGTCCCAAAACAATCTATTAATCCTCTGCCTCTTCTCTAAAGAAACCAATGTATCATTGCCACAGGCCAATTGTAAAATCAAAGGGTTATGGTCGGAATCCAAAAACTGATCCATCATAAGAGAGAGAACATCTTTCCAAATTAACAGAGAAACTATGACCAAATCAATAACAGAACTACCACGATTAGAGATAAAAGAATATTCACTTGCTTCATCACCTAAACATCTCCCATTAACAATAATCATATTTAAATCTTCACATAAATGAAGCAAGTTCCTACCACAAGAATCAATCACCAGGTCTTTCGAATTCCTATACATAGGACAAACAATGCCAAAATAATTGCAAAATGCATCAGAAATTATGTTCTCCAATCCAATCCTAACATTAAAATCACCAGCAATCAATACATTCCTATTATTATCTAATATCAAGCCAGTTAAAGTATCAAAAATAGATTGCTAGTCATTTTCCCTAAAATAAACAAAACATACTAAAATATTACCAAGTTTGGCACCAAATTAACAAGTATTAAAAAGTCATCTTGATAAACAACCACACAGGAAAAAAGGATCTTATTGCTTATAACAAGCCTGCACAATAATGACCTTTTACATGTAACTTAAAGGCCTTTCCAAAATGGAGATTATAACCTTGCAAACAATCAGCTAAGTCTGAATTTCTATTAGTAGAACCATACCAAGTCTTGGAAAGAAAAATAATATCATACTACAATAAATACTTCCAAAAAAACTCAGGTTTATTAAATAGACTAGCACAATTCCAAATTAAAAAAGAAGTACTCCTATCCGACAATTGCTAGGATGAAACAGGCTTAACTTGGTCATAGTCAACATCGTAAAAGTACTTCGTGCCATCAATAATAATTTTATCATAAACTATTTTTACCATTCGCACTCCAGAAAGCTTTGATTGTCTACCAAAATCACAAAGCTTAAATCTAATATTTCTCAATCTAGGAGAAAAGTCATCATTTACATAGACACCATCCGGTTTTAATTCCAAAATTTGTTTCTTAAAATTCATTTTATCATAATAATCAACAAAAATACAAATAATTAATCTAGGGGAATTACCCTTTTTCTTTTCCACTCTTATTGCCCTACCAATCTTAATGTTGGGCATCTGTAAGACTTGCATAGCAAATTCAACTATTTTCTCTTTCGTTTCCAGATATGATGCATCTCGGAACTCTTCTAAACCGGAAATGACATTATTTATTTAACATTGGTTATCCAAAAACTCAAGTTCACGAGTAATATCATTAAACTTTTTTGTAACATTACTTTGGTCGCCTAAACTACAATTTTTATCAGCCAATTTTTCTAATATTTCTAATCTATTATCTAAGTCAGCCAAACCTTCATCCAAATTTTTAACCATTTGGATACATAATTTAATCTAGAAATAAGTTTGTTGACCTTAGAATTCATGGCAAAATGTAAACGCAACAGAACACGTATACCCTCTTTGAGATTAAAATTTTCTCCTTCCAGAAGATATGCAAATTTTCCTGTTTGCGACTCTTCAAAGATTTCTTTTTACTATTAGTCTCTCCTTCCCTGAAGCTCGGTGAAAACAACTTTTTCTTCAGATTAACTGCCATAATAGTTAAGACTTACCTATAAAAAATAAATAAGTTAGTAATGAAGACAAAGCACTGACAGATGCTCCCAAACAACACCAGTAATAAGGCCAAATTTATAGTTGAGGAATCACTTCCCCTAGTAAGAACTTTGCAACCAAAAATTTCTTCACGTAGCACTTTAAGATGCCCAATTTAGCCGATATATGCCAAGCATCCACAATTTCTTTCTCGACACAAAAATTACATGATTCTCTCAAATAATTATTTAAAAAGTTCAATGAATTACACCTAGCCTATAAAAAAGAAATAAGTTAGTAACAAAGACACAGTGCTGACAGATGCTCCCAATATTCTATTAATTAAACATCACAGTAATATTTCTGATTTCTGCAGTGTAACATTAATGTTGTGATAGAAATCTAATATTTTCAGATTTATATTATCTTATCTTTTTTTTTGTTTTCTTTAGGAAGTTCCTCAATTTGCAGATTATTTTACTTCTTATAGAAAACTTACAGAAAAAGATTTGAAATTATTTCCTAGTCAATATAAGTAAGTTTTTATACTATTTAATAAATTAAATTTAAAATTTTTACAATGATATTTACTAATTTATAAAAATTACGTATAAAATGGTCAATATTACTCATAGGAAATAAATAGATTACAGTAGAGCATTGATTATCCGACTCAATTGGGGACTGGGGTTGATCGGATAACCGAAAAATATGAAAAAATACATTATTAGTATAGTATATTAGTATATCCCATGTAATTAGTATATTAGTATATTGCTATTAACCTACTTCGCATTGAATTTTCATTGATGTTAAGCCTAACAAAAATTTTTTAAAATAATAATCATCGCTATTGTATCGTTAAAAATTAGAAAATTAAGCCTCGTTTAAATACTGGCTCCCTTTTATGGTCGATCCAGTGTTGCCAGCTAAAACACGTAAAAATAATATTAAAGTAGCCAAGACATAGCCAAATATTGTAGCGCCACATCACTTGCGGACATTTGAATTTGCCAACCAGAATGCAGTCGGTTAACCGATGTGATGGTTGATTGGGGGTCGGATAATCGATGCTCTACTGTACTTAACAATTAGTATACTTTCTAGTATAAAATAAGAATTAAATTCTAATGAAATTATTATAGATAAATTCAAATACAGATTGTTAGAAGGGGTGAATATCTGTATCTTGCATCTACTGTAATAACATATTGTGAGATTCTAGCCGGGGATACAGAGTAGTTTAATACCCTTTTATCACTTAATCGGCTTCTAGTTTGTAAAACTAGTTCTCGGAGTTTCGGATTGAGAGATCCGATCTCTAATCTTTTTCTAGGAGGGCTATTAATATTTAAACCGATCCGGACTGTGAAGTCTAGATCTACGTCAGGATTCCTTTGACACCAGTTAATCAAATTTAGATATGTGGATTAACATGCTTGAGGAGATAATATGCATGTGATTCAGACAATGATGAGACATTTCTTTAAACAAATAAATAAAGATTTAATAAAATAAAAGTAAATAAAATTACACAAATGGAATAAATCAAAATATAATTAAACGAAAGAGAAACAATGGATTAATTATATTATACGCTTCGAGAGAGAGAGCTCACAAATTTAGTTATAAACATTCTACCTCAATTTACTCTATCTTGATCTTCTTCTGTATTCTTGGATCATTCTTCATTTCAAGGAGGGGTCGTGAATTGGCACAAGATTATAAATTTTCTTCTATTCTCCTAAATTAACTCATTATGAGACTCGATTGGATACGACTAAAGGCGTTGGCCTTAGGGAGACAATATGGATTACGTCGGTCTTCTCTGAAATCTTTCGGCGTACTCCTAAGGGCATTGGCCTTAGGAGTACGCCGAAGCATTGGCTTTAGAGAGCGAATATGGGATACCTCCTTTCCCTATGAGATCTTTCGACGTACTCCTCGAATCATGCAGATCTTTGACTATATCTCATGATTTGTGACCAATCAGCTTATTTGTTTTCTCTCACGTGAACGGATGAAAAGGGGAATTATTGAGGGGTCGGCAATTTCCAGTGTGGTGAGATTTGTGATAGATAAGTGGAAAAACAAGGGATGCTTCAACTTCCGTTAAAGGAAGTGGCTCTTTTATCAGTTTTCCCACATTAGAAAAATGATATTTTCACACCAAAATGAAATAATATTTTACTTTATAATTTTAACGTTATATTTAAATTGTTAATTAGACCCAGGGGCTATTCGGATCTCACAATATGCTTTGCTATCTCTACAAGATCAAGAATCAATTTTGATTCAAAATTTGTTGAAAGGAACTTTTCAATTTAGCACCCATCATTTGTTCACCTCCAAAACTGGCCCTAAATTGAATGTAATATTAAACCAAAGTTCCTCAAACAATAATAATTACATAGTAATGATTTCTATACAGAAGTTTAAATTTGAGTTTGAAAATCACCTGACTTGGCAGTAACACTGTTGTTAGCTTTGCAAAATCATGCATTTAGTAATCACAAACACCAAGAATTCTCTGACATCTTTGGAAAGATTCATTCATGAGTATTTGCTGGTATGTTACAAAGGAAATGCTATTTAGGAAAGTTCCATATCAAGTTTAACTGCATACATCTTAGATTTTGTGTATGATAAGATTCTAGATAATAAAAAGTTAATGATAATATTACCATTATCTTTATTATTTATTCTTTAACAATGGAAAGTAAACTACATTTTTTTATGCAAATTAGAAACCTAATAGATTGATAAATATTGAAAAAACAAAATAAATTTTCTTTTTACATTCTTAAATATTAAATCTGTAGTGACAATGAACTGCAACATAAAAAATGAAAGAACTAATTAGGACATCTCTGACAAGAATAAATAGATAATTCTTAACATATAGTAAAATGACCAGATCCTGAAATGTAAAAAGCAGAACATTAGGCTTGATGCTTCACTGTGCTGTCAAATGAGTCATATGATTGATTCTGGTCAATGATTGTTAGTTTTCTAGCTTTGATGTTATTGATGTGGTATGAATAACCAATGAACATTTTACTTATTTGTATATTCTTGTTTACAAAATATCAACCTACAGCAATAGCAACAATGAACAACTAATTATGGCTCTGAGTATAGTGTTGTCTGTTTTATTGACTGTGAAGAAAAAATATGAAAGCATACATCAGAACCTTTAAAGGGAAAATAAAATCAATTGTTTAAGTATAAAGAATTGAATAAATATACTATTTCTGACTCACCAGCAACTAAGTGATTGTTATTTATTCTATATTAGTATTTGACAAACAACAAATAATCATAAAATTTCTCTATTCTTTTAAAAATTAGAAAAGGTAAGTATATAATTATTTTAATTCAGATTATTAGCAAAACTCATCAGTTCTCTTTTGTAACAGGTTTGTAAAACTGTATATGGAACATAATTACTATTCTCCAACAGACAGAACTGCCAGACTGGACAGTAAATCAGCAATCAGGCTACTGTTTCTATAAATTGTATATTTAAATTTTTATGTATATGCAATTCATCTTTGAATAACAGCTTATGCAATAAATATTGGCTATTTTTGAATATAATTGAAAAATGTCCCACTTTTGGACTATTTCATGAACAGTTTTAAAATTGGAACTCTCCTACCTAATTTAGGAGTCTTGTTACTAAAATATAGTTCTGTTACACTTTTGTTAATATAGGTAAAATAATCACACAAGCAATTTATCCAATGTAAAACAACAGAAAATACAAAACTAGGTTTTGTTGCCACTCCTTAAATATGTTTAAATTTTGTAATATGCCATTCAAATCTTAAGTTACATTTTTGTTCAATAATATGGTTTTAACCTAAAGATGATCATTCAATATGATTACAGCAAACAATTCTTTTTTGCTAATGTTTTCAATTATAAGATGTTGAAGTTATTACAGGAAATTCTCATTCGTTCGAAATTCAGGGACGGAATATTCGTGATGTTGAATTATCAAATTATCTGAGATTTACATATTTCTGTATAATATGCCAAGTGCCATGTAACTGATGTAATTTGTTAAGCAAATGGAATATGGCTACTTACACAGGATGAAATTGTAAGAGGTTCAATGCAAAAGGAATTACACTGAAGTGTGATATTCAATTAAACCAAATTAATTTTGTGATAAAATAGATTATTTACAGATTATTTTCAGATTTCCACTCTTTGTGCACTTCCGAAGTCCTTCTGTGCTAACAATACAATGGTGATTCACGTAATTGATTTCGCCACAATTACCAACCCGATAATATTAATACTAAGACTTATCTAATGGTCGCACGTGATTCTTAACCTAACTTAAAACTAATTAGAAAGCAGATAGATAGAAGGGGGAGTAAGAAGGATTGATAAGACAGGTACCCAATTTCTTGGCAGATATCTCGATGTGAATCCTCTGTCTGACTTCCAAGTTACTCATAAGTTCTTTTCTTCCTTTTCTTTCCAGAATTGTAATTTCTCCAAGGGATTTACCTCCAGGTCTGGCTACTTAATTTCCTCTTGGATCTTCCACTCTAAGGCCTTCCTCATTAGCACTTGTTGATCTCCAAACTCGCAAGCCTTGCTGGTACATGTCTTTCTCTCTCTGTCTCTGGTCAAAGAATGTCGACTCGAGTTCAGGTTTTTGCTCTCTAGCCTTGCTGTAGCCTATTGTTCGCTTCCCACACTCTGGTGGGGAAAGGGGTGAGTCAGGTCCGAAAACAATAGAACAAAGGAAATTGGAAAAAGAAATAGGATTAAAAGATATAGAATATAAAATTAAAATTATACAAAAATATGGCATACAGCCACAAAATTTTCATTAATAAATAATAATAATAATAATAATATAAATAAACTGCAGGTAAACAGCATGTGTCCAGTGAGAACATCACAGGTCACTAGATAGGTTTTATAAGACGTAAAGCAGAATTCCTTGAAATGTAGCCCAAATTACTTTTAAAGTTGCCCAAAAGTAGTAGCCTACAGTCCTACAAATATCTCAATCTGCTACTTTTAGCTCAATCTTGCAATCCCAAAAACCAGCATATTTTATTAGATAAGAGAAAAAAGGGTAGTCTTTGGTAAGGTGATACCCAAAAATTTGTTACTGTAATAGCAAAGTCATATTGACCAGATTATAGTTGTTCTTGGTCTATTGTTCTCTTATAGCATGGAGGCACTTTGATCTAAATGAAGGAGTTAACATACACATATCACAAATCAGACAGAATTTTCACTTCAAATTACAAAGTAGCCATATTTCGACCTAACCAAATTCCTTAATATGTAAATCTCTATATCCCTGTCCTAGACAAAAGTACAGTTACAAACTAATGGGATTTCAAACTATCTCAGTTTCTGTAATTTATTTAAATCAGTTATTTAAAAACTGATTTTATTAACTTTAAAAACCTTGCACTTTTTATTCTGAACAAATGTTTTTGTTTTTGGTTTTATCAAAATATATTTATATATATTATATTATGTGTATTCAGTGTGTGTGTGTGTGTGTATATATATATATATATATATTAGGTTTGTAAAATCAAAACATCTTATGAGGGAACTTAGGCTTTTGCTTAAGATCTCACATCTCTAGGTCCTCCAACATAGATATATAATTATTGGTACTTGATCTTAATTAGATACAGATTTGTACTAGCTCTAGTTTATAAAATCCATATCATGTGATTATCAATATTTATTTCATGAATTTATATAAAAAGGATGATACAAATCTGTGCTTGCCTGAAAACTCTCATTAAAATTACCACTGGATGTTATAAGATAAAACTAGTTTGGAATAAAAAAAAAGTGTCAATAGTAATGAAATGATGATATTTTTTAGAAAATAATACTTTTTTTGTCATATAAAAAATGTTTTTTATGTTTAATATAGCAATTTATTTTAAGAATTAATTAATGAATTTCTTTATCTTTATAGATATGGTGCCTATGCAACTACATTTTATACAGAATGTACTAAACTTATTCCATTTCTCATGAAAAGGTAATGAATGTTACAAATCTCTATAAATAATTGTTATATTATTGTTATTTACACATTGATAACTTGTATATCGTGCCAAATTATTTTTCTAATGGTTTACAATAAGATTTGATCTGTTTCTTTTCCAAGTTGCTGATTCAAGATAACTTGTGTTTTAAACTTTTTCTATTGGATTTAATACTGTAACAGTTATATTTACACTTTTTAAATGACTTTAACAGTTCTCTGAATGATAAAAACAATTTTAAAAATTTCTACAAAATTTCTCTATTCTTATAAAAATTAAAAAATGCCTCTAATTATTTTAACTCTGATAATTAGCAAAAATCATCACCTTGGTTTCATAACAGATTCACATGATAGTACTTGATATGAATTTATTATTCTCTGACAGACAGAAGTGCCAGACTGGGCAATAAATCAGCAATCAGGCTACTGTTTTTTACTGTTAATATTTAAAAAAAGAAATTTTTTTAAACCTTAATCCATTTTTATTCTGGGAAAGACTGAAGAATAAAATATAATGAGATTTTCTACTTAAATTTTATATTGATATAAGTATTAATTCAGTTTATTATTGACATGTATTAATTAAGATTATAAATTATTTCATATTTTGAAAATTTTTATATTTTTATTATCTAGTGGGTCAGTTCATTCTTTCTTTTTCCTAATATTTATTCTATTTGGTTGTAGAGTCTGCTCATTTGCACTGGATTCACCATTTTTATGTGATCTTTTGCATCAAATAAAATATTTTTAGAATATCTTATGATGCTTTACATTGATGATTTACAACTTTTTTGAGTTAGTGACACATTAGTGAGCCAGTGAAGCCAAAGGTAGTCTTACATGTGAAGTGGAATTAAAAATGAATTGAACTTGTGACTGTATAAACACAAACTTTTACACTGCACCACCTTCAAAGCAAGCTTTTTTTTTATAGCTATATATTTTTGCCAGTATTCAAACACTTTGTCAAAGCAGTTCCAGAAGCCATTAGTTGTTGTCTTTAAGGGCTTTTGTTATTGTGGCTTCCATCTATGCTGCCAATTAGAACCCATGGCTCCTCAATTTCTCTTTTATTTAGGAAATAATCCACAAATAAAGGAAAAACTGTTTCTCTACTTTTTGTTTTCTGAATTTTTGTGATACATTTACTAAAAGTTTGCAGCAAACTAGTTGAGAACTATTGTTTTAAACCAATGACAAAAAGTTAATTATTTTTAGCTATAATTAAGATGTCTTTAATTAAATTAGATCAGATGAACAATAAAAGGTTACTAAAACTCTGTTGAAATACAAACCAACAAGCAAAAGAGATCTTTTTCTTGTTAAAGAACAGACAATTACTAGATGGTGGGATCAATCAGAAACTGTAATACATACATACAATAAAGACTTTGGCTGTACATGAGGTGTTTAGCCAGTGGAAAAGAGGGTGAGGGGAAGAAGGAGGGAGAGGAGATAGATAGTAGAGAAAGGTAGGATCCCTCTTAATGGCATAATATGCCATTAAGAGGGATCCTACCTACATAGAGGGTACTGTTGCCATACATATGATATGTATGGCAACAGTACCCTCTATGTTTGATGTTGGCATCCAGTTTTTAGGCTGCAAGGCGGTAGTCTCTGAAGGATCTAAAAGAAAACCTGAGTGTAGCAAACACCAGTGGCGTGCCGTCATTAGAAGCGGTGGAAGCGCCGCTTCCCTTGTATTTCTAAAAAATAAATAAATATTAATTTTAATTATATGAAAATAATCACACAATATTTTATTATAACCGCATTATGTATCTTATTACAAATTTCTATATTACATGTGGAAAAAAAATTGCTATTGTATATTATTAAATTAGTGGCGGAGTGGAATCTCCTGTATTTTCAGATTACGAAAATGCAGATTCGCGCATGCGCTTTACAGACCATCAACCTCACCCGGTTTAGCCGGTGGAAGCCTACGACCTTGGGTGAAAGCTGCACACATATAAAGATTCCAATTCTATCAAGGACCGGTTCTGGGCTGTTAGCCGCCTGCCCACTAGATATTTCGATTACGTGAATAACGAGTAGATTTATAACTTAACCCAACCGATAAGAATTTACTATGTTTCTACGATAGTTCTGTATAGTTGACGGGAGTTAAAAAAATCCATTAAAATATTTGATATATTTATTCCGCTCTCTGATTTCATATTACTCACGGATTTCAATGTTAAATCGGTGATATTACGATTTCGTACATCCCATCTTTAAGGGGATGTAGAAAAAAAAACATGTACAATTTTTGTATAATGTTAAAAAATTAACCGTTACTTCGACAGCATCATTTACAACTGAATTTAATGAATGAGATAGATGCACAAGGTACAGTAAAAGCTCTAGAATTTATTTTCCTTAAATTTACGATTTATGTATCCATTTGTCATAAAAATTTCTTTCCACTTTTTTCCCGAGACTACAAATATTNATCATTTACAACTGAATTTAATGAATGAGATAGATGCACAAGGTACAGTAAAAGCTCTAGAATTTATTTTCCTTAAATTTACGATTTATGTATCCATTTGTCATAAAAATTTCTTTCCACTTTTTTCCCGAGACTACAAATATTCGAGTACAAAGTAACCAGTTTCGACTTATTTCTACTTAAGTAGTTAAATAATTAATCAATTAGGGAATTGGGAACAAAATAAAACCCTGCTGAAAGAGCCAGAATATTACTTAAACAAAAGCTTAACCGAACCAATCTATAGCCGAGTACAGTGAGGACTGATTTCTTCGAAATACTGTATTAGATGTAATACAGACAGAAATTTTTCCAGTTCAACGAGAGTGACCGAAAAGTTGTAAACTTTGGAAATTTCCGTGGACAACACCTGGTCCTAAAACAAATTAGTTAGAAAACAAAAGACGGACAATCTATTAAGTTTAACGCATTTAGATTTTTACAGCTATGATGAGAAACATTTAAAATTTACAACAACCCTGTTGCATCCTTTGAGATATACTAGTGATACGACAAAAGATGTTAACTGGTATCGGCACCCTCGGGATTTGGCATGCACGCACGCACCGCACACCTACCAAGATCGTCTCTGATTCCATCCACGAGTCACTGATAGGGAGCACTTTTAACTAAGTGGATTGTTTTAATATTTAAAAAGTAAAGAATATCTTATGCTATTTTTATGTACGTTTCTTCACAAAACTATATTCATACAATCGAATATTTTGTACCAGGTATGTATAATTGTATATCGATCACACATTTTATTTTAACAAGTAAGTTTTTATAATTTTATTTTTAATTTTAGCCCTTATATTATAGCTAGCAATTTAGAATGTAATTGTGATATTGAAAATTTATTTCAAAAAGTTTTGGCTCGAGACCATATAATGAAAAAGAAAACATTATTAAAAGAGAAAGACCAATGCCTAAATTAAATATAAATACGTCAACAAAAAAATTTGTTCGACATTTTCACGATAAAATTTATGAAGATATAAAATGGCTCTGTGGATGCATAAAAATGCAAAAATTGTTTTGTTGGCCTTGCCTACTATTTTCAAATAAAATTAGTGTGTGGAATGAGATTGGCTTTGACGATTTAAATAATTTGAGTAAAGCTGGCAAAAGACACGAAAATCCTAAATCTCGCATCGATTCTTTCGTAAAATTGAAGCAATTTGGAAATCAAAATAGAATAGAATTTAACATTAGTACACAATATAAAATAAATATTGAAAATTATAACGAGATAGTTACAGCTAATAGATATATTATATTTTAATTAGTAGATGTTATTGAAGTGAGAATTGGCATTTAGAGGGCATAGAGAATCTATTAAATCTAATATAACAGAGTTAATTATATTGAACTCGCTTATTTATTGAGTGCGTTAGATAATCTATTAATTAAAAATACATTTAGAGAAGTCTACGGTTTTTACTGGCTTATCGAACAAACGAATATGAATGGACCCTAGACCGTCACTGACTGATTGCCCCTGGAAGTTGGCTTGTTACAAAAACACAGCTTCCCTATCATCAAATGTCACGTCACGTCCCTGGCGAACACCAATGATTTAGTGCCACCACAAATAGCTTAAGTGTAGAAGTTAGTGCCAAGTGGCTGTTAGTAGGAAGACTTATATCTACTTAATGCTAATGAAACTGAACATGAGTACGAATCTTAATACTACTTAACAGCTAGACAGACAGTGTGAAAAAAAACAAATGAACACAACAAACTAGACAAGACAAAAGACAAACACGCAACATCCCAAATTTTTTTTTTTAATTTAATTTAATTTCTTTATTTTTAAACATTAACTTACCCACTAACTAAACTAACCTACCACAACCTAGGACGAACCTAATCAGAAATCAAGCTAAGAGTCCCTAATCTAACTTACAACTAGGACTAACTTAAACTAACCAAATTTAGACCGAAAAGAAGAAAGTTGAAAGCAGCTATGTACTGACAGTTGAAACAAAGCAAGAGAAAGCTAATTGCAATCCATGCCTCCAGAGAGTGCTCCCAAGAGCCCCACTAAGGATTATGAATGCGAATAGATGATGGAACATTGTGTGTGTGTGAATGAGATGGTGCTGGTTGCAAGACCAGTTGTACCCTTCAAGAATCACAGATCTCATTAAACTATCGCTAATGTGATTGTACCTATTGCAGCAAAAAACTAAGTGAAGTGGTGTTTGGTCCTCCTGAATAACACAATCGCAAGGTTAAATCTATGTAAGTATNTGAGATGGTGCTGGTTGCAAGACCAGTTGTACCCTTCAAGAATCACAGATCTCATTAAACTATCGCTAATGTGATTGTACCTATTGCAGCAAAAAACTAAGTGAAGTGGTGTTTGGTCCTCCTGAATAACACAATCGCAAGGTTAAATCTATGTAAGTATTGCTTAAAGTTGCCGTGTCCTGAAAGTAGCTGAGTGAGGGTGTAACTAGGGTAAAAGTGGAGAAGAATCGTAGTAGTGTCAACCTTGGGGATGAAAGTGTAGGTGAGCCTACCAGTGGTGTCAAGGTCCCAGCTGTCTTGCCAGAGAATGAAGATTTGCTTCTTGACGTGATTGTTGATGTACGAGGTAGGAATGTAACTGAAATTACTAGTGACTGAAGACTTTGCAGCTTGTTTGGCAAGACTGTCAGTGGTCTCATTGCCGAGAACCCCCGCATGACCCAAGACCCATTGGAAATTTATTCTAATGTTGTCATCTAAGTGTCTGAGAACGTGGTGTATGAGATGGACGGCTATGAGACTTCACAATTCCGTGTAAAGCTACCTTACTGTCAGAATAAATGCGATAGAGTAAGTAGTGTCTTTTGTCCTTCCTATGCCTAATGTGAATTAAGCTCATATAAATAGCTCAAGTTTCTGCCTGTGCTATTGAGCAGTGTGTACTTAGACGGAAGCAAGCGTTGTGTAGCTCATAGCCTAAGCCAGAGTAAACTACAAAAGCGGCACCCACATCGTCACCTATCTTGGAACAGTCAGTGTAAATCCTATACATGGGATGATCACCTGGATCTTTGAAGTAAACGTGAGGGGCAAGCTGGTGGGAGGGTATTTTTGTTGATGCAGAATTTTTTGATATCATCGATCAAGGTCAAACTGGGGGGGAATCTTACCTACTCTAATCATTTTATTGACATCCGAGTCGCTATAATCTCGCCAGGGTAATGTGATGAGATTTTCCTGCCAAATAATGCATTTAATTTCTAAGTCGATAGGGGTCAACCCTGACATTACCAAAAGGGCACTAGTGGGTGTGGTCCTATAAGCCTTACAAGTGCAGAGAGCTGCAATCCTTTGAACAGATAACAGTTTTTTACAGTTATGGACTTTGGCAGCCACGTGACCCCAGACCTGTACAGCATAGAGGAGTGCTGGCTGAATTGCACCCCTGTAAAAAGCTTAATAGCAGTAGGGCCAAGGCCCCATGTGTTCCTAGCAATATTAATGAGGGCATTGGTCATCTTTTTAGCTTTGTGACGTATTTGATGTGGGGTGTAAAGTTAAGTCTCTCGTCAAGAATAACATCTTACTATTTAATTTCTGTTGTTTGCTTTATTCTGTGAGCACCTATTTGAAGGATAAGCTTCCTGACGAGTAGCGCATTCCTACCAACTATCATGCTTTTGCATTTGTCTGTGTTAATGGGTTGCCTATGCTTAATACTCCACTGGTGAATGTTATTAAGAATGTTGTTGCATATGTCCTGTAAGCGTTCACTGTTCCCGTGTGAAGTTAGGATAATTGTGTCATCCGCATAGCCTTTATGCAGCCAGAGGCAGGGTGTCATTTAAGCGCAGGATAGAGTTATAGGCTATTTTCCAGAGACTAGGATCAGACCTGGATCCCTGAGGACAGCCCTGAGTGATGGGTATGATTATGTTATTTTGTGTTGTATAAACACCTGCACTCTTGTTGCTAAGATAGGATTGAAGAAGTTTGTAAAGATTTTGAGGGCGTGATGAGTGTGTAATGTGTACAAGATAGAAGGCCACCAGGTTTGATCAAAGGCACCTCTAAAGTCGATAGTGATTATTGCCGTATGCCAATTATTAAGTTTAGCCTGGTGGATGGCATCTATAGTACCTTTGTTTTTAGAGAAATAAGTGACATCTAATTAGAAATTAATTTTAAAGTTTAATTACTAATTATCAATTTTAGAATAAGACAGTTTTATCTCCTATCTTTAAATTACAGAATTTGTCCTAATCATTTAAAATTAGTTTAATTCTAACCGAAAATAATCCAACATCTCAGTATATTGTGCTACCAAAATTGGGCTATGATTTATTTTATTTCTTGAATTGATTTTATGCTTAATGTAAGTAGTGGTTTTGAAATTCACTTCCAGATTTTGTAATCCTAAATCTTATTTTTTTATGGTTTCTAGTTGTTTATATATAATCATTAATTTTATTTCTTGTAAACTATATAAAACAGGGGCGTGCCGTGACATTTGATGATAGGGAAGCTGTGTTTCTATAAGAAGCAGACATCCAGGGGCAATCAGTTAATTCTTTCTTTAAATATATTTTTAATAGATTATTTATCTGATGTACTTAATAAGCAAGTTCATTATAATTACCTCTGTTATTAGATCCAATATATTCCATACGCCCTCTAAATGCCAATTCTTGCTTTGATAAAAACATATAACATCTATTTATTTAGATATAATATATCTATTACCCATAATTATCTCGTTACAATTTTCAATATTTATTTTATATTATTTACTAATGTTAAATTCTATTCCGCTTCGATTTCCAAATTGCTTCAAATACGAAAGAATCGACGATTTTTCGTGTCTTTTGCCAGCTAAATTGTCAAAGACATTCTTATTCCACACACTAATTTCACTCTGTAAATGCATTTTTATGCATTTACAGAGCCATTTTATCGTGAAAATATCGAACAAATTTTTTTATTGAAGCGTTTATATTTAACTTAGGCATTGGCCTTTCTCTTTTAATAATGTTTTCTTTTTCATTATATGATCTCGAGCCAAAACTTTTTTAAAATAAATTTTCAATATCGCAATTACATTCCGAATCGCTAGCCACGATATAAGGGCTAAAATTAAAAATAAAATTATAAAAACTTACTTGGTGAAATAAAATGTGTGGTGGATATACATACCTGGTACAAAACATTCTTCAATTGTATGAATATACTTTTAAAGAAAATTATAATTAAATATAACTTTGTAATGAAACGTACATGAAAATAACATAAAATATTCTTTACTCTTTAAATCTTAACCACTTAGTCAAATAGCTCCCTACGAGTGGAATCAGAGACGGTCCTGCTAGGTGTGCGGTGTGTACTGTACATGCACGCGGGCTGCCAAATCCCGAGGGTGCCGATACCCTCGGGATTTGGCAATGTCAAATGTTTCTTTTGTCGCATCACTAATATACCTCAAAAGACGCGACAGGGTTCTTGTAAATTTTAAACGTTTCTCACCATAGCTGTAAAAGTCTAAATATGTTAAACTTAATAGATTGTCCGTCTTTTGTTTTCTAACTAATTCGTTTTAGGACCAGGTGTTGTCCACGGAAATTTCCAAAATTTACAACTTTTCGGTCACTCTCGTCGAACTGGAAAAATTTCTGTCTTTATTACATCTAATACAGTATTTCGAAGAAATCAGTCCCCACTGTACTCGGCTATAGATTGGTTCGGTTAAGCTTTTGTTTAAGTAATATTCCGGCTCTTTCATCAGGGTTTTGTTTATGTCCCCAATTCCCTAATCGCTTAATTATTTAACTACTTCTTAAGTAGAAATAAGTCGAAACCAGTTACTTTGTACTCGAATATTTGTAGTCTCGGGAAAAAGTGGAAAGACAAATTTTTATGACAAACGGATACATAAATCGTAAATTTAAGGAAAATAAATTCTAGAGCCTTTTCTGTACCTGGTGCATCTCTCTCATTCATTAAATTTAGTTGTAAATGACGCTGTCGAAGTAACGGTTAATTTTTTAACATTATACAAGAATTGTACACGTTTTTTTCTACATCCCCTTAAAGATGGGATGTACGAAATCGTAATATCACTGGTTTAACATCGAAATCCGTGAGTAATATAAAATCGGAGAGCGGAATAAATATATCAAATATTTTAATGGATTTTTTAACTCCTGTCAACTATACGGAATTATCGTAAAAACATACCAGTAAATTCTTATCGGTTGGGTTAAGTTATAAATCTACTCGTTATTCACGTAATCGAAATATCTAGTGGGCAGGCGGCTAACAGCCCAGAACCGGTCCTTGATAGAATTGGAATCTTTATATGTGTGCAGCTTTCACCCAAGGTCGTAGGCTTCCACCGGCTAAACCGGGTGAGGTTGATGGTCTGTAAAGCGCATGCGCGAATCTGCATTTTCGTAATCTGAAAATACAGGAGATTCCACTCCGCCACTAATTTAATAATATACAATAGCAATTTTTTTTCCACATGTAATATAGAAATTTGTAATAAGATACATAATGCGGTTATAATAAAATATTGTGTGATGATTTTCATATAATTAAAATTAATATTTATTTATTTTTTAGAGAATACGAGGGAAGCGGCGCTTCCAACGCTTCTAATGACGGCACGCCACTGATATAAAACAATAAAATCTCTCTCTATATATATTTTTAAGATGTAACTTTCAAAGTCAATGTATCAATATTTATATCATATATTTTTATTTCAGATTTCAAGATAAACATGGAAAAATAATCAAAAGAAAAATTACTTCATTTAGTGAGGTGAATATTTTTTATTTTACTTAACCAATTATTTATTGAAATAATTTAATTAATAATTTAAATTGCTAATTAATTTTCTTTTTTCAGCTAGCAGGTGAATATCATATTGTTATAAATTGCACAGGTATTGGTGCATCTCAAATTGTATCTGATCCCAAACTTAAACCAATTAGAGGTCAAGTTATAAGGGTATCATTTAATTTTTTTGTATTATAAATTAAATTAGAATAATAATAACTTAAATTTTTAAACTGTTTTACTTACATGCTTTTCAAATCAAAACTTTGAATAATTTGCAAAACCTTACTTTTGGATTGACTTTATGGTAAAAATTACTTGATCCTTTATCAATATTATAATTAGAGCCTGCAATACTAGAGAGAATATGTAATACTAGCTAGGATGATGGGATTAAAGAAGTGTGTGGTCTGTTATGGAACAATAAAAACATTCTATATTTTATTAGGACATGATATTACTCCATTATTGCACATGATGCTTTTTGAGTTTATGTAAATTATAAATAACCTTAACAAAAATAGCTTTTCAGTTGGTAAAACTAAAATATAACATGCATTTATGGGAAAATGTAATTAAGAAAATTTTACTGCAGGAATTACTAATTTACTTATTATCTTGAACAAATGGTGGATAATATAATTGTTTTGGTGTTGCTGATCAATGTGATATCAATCTCAAAATTCTTAGTCTTGTTCTCACAATATGACAATCCAATTGAGAAAAATGATGAGAAGCAGGTACCACTTTATCCCATAGATATTTAAGAAAATTAAGCATAAATTAACTAAACTTGAGCCTTGAATGACTATCTGAATGATCAGAAGTGATGTCTTTTGTTCCATTATTTCAATGTCTAATGCCAATCCTGAAATCCCATGATTTGTGTCTACTTAATCCTAGGATTTCACAATTGATATTTTTGAAAGGCTCCCAGGATTGCAATTCCTAACTAGAATCATAGCAAGAATTATTTACAGGAACTGATTATATGAGGTTTCTGATTATAAAAGCCTTGACAGTGCTGACTTGATGGAAATTGTGCCTAGGAGAAACCAACTTACTGCTCCTGTTTCCAGAACTGTTGCCAATAGAAAGCATGTCTAGTGCTGACACTCTTTTATGAACTTTTTTCCCTCTTTTTCAACATTTTTGGCCACCCCTTTCATTTTGTTGCTTGAGGCAGTTGCCTAACACATCACCCATTGAGCTGGCCCTACTTTGACAGATGTTCTTACAAATTAAACAGGACTATCTTTTGTGAAATATGAATAAGTAGGCGTCTACCTTTCTTTCTGATTAAAGATATAAAATTGGTTTGCATTGTTTCCATATTTAAGTACTATTCCTAAAGTGCATAACATTCAGTAATTGTAAAGTCAATTTTAAATTAAGTATTGCATTGTTTATAAAATTTATTGCCTCTAATATTTTCAAGCCCACCACCTATTTTGAAAGTAACATTTATGAACTGCAATGCCAAATGATCAATCAAATATATAATGTAATGTAATCAAAGCCAATAAATGTAGCAATGTAATTAGATAATCGACTGAACTATTTTTGCTCTATAAGAATGATTTATTTTAATCATTCTTATAGAGCACAAATTAGATCTAAAGGTAGATGTTTAGACTACATCTTGTAGCTTACCTTTAGACCTTACTAATTACACCTTTGCACATACCCTTACTTTAATTAGAAATTAAATTAAATTAATTCAGTTTCATTGATTTGGTCTTCCTCTTGATCTCTCGTTAATGATTATTAAATTATAATCATCTTTCTGCAATCATTCTTCAAAAATGATTTAAAATATTTATTATAATCAAGTAGGGTTGCCAGTTCAGAAAAAAGATAGATTTTCCACAATAAATCATATATTTTATTATGTTGTATAGAACATTGTTTAATTAACTTATATGCTATTTACTCCTCCTGATATTTCTCATGTGATTTAGCTGCTCTTAACAATTTTTTTTTCATTTTCATCCTGTTTTGCAAATGGTAAAATTGCTTACAAGTGAGAGGGAAATTGTGTATAATTTTAGTTCTGCTTTGATCAGCTCTGAATGGCTCTTGTTTCTAACAGATGTCCGTTTATTCTTCATTACTGAAAAACATTCTTTCTACAAAGTTGTTAGAATCAGGAATACTTAGAAAACCCTATGACTTTATTTAAGTTTAAAACTCTTTCCTTATGAACTTTAGAAAAAAATACAGCCACCTATCAACATCATTGGAGAGTATTAATTATTCCTTTATAATTAATACTCTCCAATAAAACATCTCTTCTCTCACAAAATTCCTCATAAAGCTCATCATGTTCACAAATTTATGCAATTTTAATGCATCAACAGCATTTTCTTCTTCCTGATTCAAAGAAAAGCTCTGTAACTTAGAATACTGATTATTTTCTGTAAAGTAATATTGTTTTTCAAGGTAATGCAATACGTTTACATAAAACTCACAAAATTCATTTGTGATTTTATTCTGTTTTGGATGTGACAGGAATTTCGAAAGTTTTTGGTAGCATTTCCAAAATAGTGATCTTTGATTCTTTTAATCTTTCTTTTTAATTTCAATTTTAATCTTTATTTAGGTCATGCATTTGAAAGATTCTGACACACACAATTCACTGGTTTCAAGAGCTTTGGTGTAATCTCAAGTAGTTCCCCTATATTAACAAAGAAATTAAAATATAATTCACAATATGTCTGAATCTGGGTCATTATTTTGGAACATTTTTGAAAAAAACTGAGACAGTCATCAAGGATTTGAAAGTAGCTCTTTATATCAGACTAATTTCAAATCAATCTTTTAACAGCTGGTGTTAAACTGAGCCATCTAGTTGGCACATGACATAAATTTCTGGCCACTCTATTTCAAAAAAAAATTTTATTTCTTTCCTTTCCTGGCACATGACATAAATTTCTGGCCACTGTAATTCAAAAAAAAGATTTTATTTCTTTCCTTTCCTGGCACATGACATAAATTTCTGGCCACTCTATTTCAAAAAAAGATTCTATTTCTTTCCTTTGTTTTTTCAAACACTGAAAAATGACTGAAAACTTTCATAACAATATTTTCAATCTCACTATCTAGTCTGTTGCATATTTCATTGCATTAGGCAACAGGTGATTTTAATAATTATCTTTTACAATATTTGCATTTTTTATGTTAAGAAGCTGAAATAGTGAATGCTGATTTCCAAAGTTCACAGTAAATAGCATTGTGTCAATTACAGAGATGCAGACACTTTGTTGTTTGCTGGGCACTCCATGTATTAAATATAAGCAATTGTTTTACAAAGCACAACCAACCCAAATTGCTAATTTTTATCTTTATATTACTTTATTTTATTTTATTGTACTTTATTATTTTATACTTTATTTTTTACATTCATTTGGTTTATAGCTGTTATTTCTTATTGGGTAGCAATGTATTTTAATTTATATGTATCCTATTTATTCTTGAATGTTTATTTGTTTGATTCTGTTAATTTGGTTGGTTCTAATTGATGAAGGCCTGTTAATTTTGGGTGATAAATGTTCTTAAAGTATTAAAATATTTGCTGGATTTCACAAGGTGTCATTTTTATTTAATGTTATATGCAGAGATATACATTTGGTTCAAATGGAATTTCTAAAGACTTTCAAATAACATTGAAGTTATAGAATCTGCACATTCACTTGCTCTTCAACAAAGTCCAAAATTTTAATTGTTTTCAATATCTTTTCTTGAATCAGAATATCTAACACAAATTGGGAACATTTTTCAATTTCCTTTCTTTGAGGCATTGCTAGCAACCAAGAAAAACTGGCTAGACTTTTCAGGATTATTAAGAACTTCCACAAAAATCATTAAAACTTTGTTGCAAGAACATTATTTACTAATAGTTTCTATTTTAATTCTACTACATGACATTCTTACCATAATCTCTGAATCTTGGAACAAGAATGCTGATGACTTTTTACTGCAATCTAAACTGTTATAACTTTGGTTATGTTTTACACAAGTCCTAGTTCTCCTGCTATTACACTGACAAATTATGTTTTCTTCACATTGACAAAGTATTTTGACATTCTTCCATCTACCAAACTACACTTTTCCTTCTTACAATGGCCTTTAATTGGATATGCTGTTTTATATCAAACTGTTCATTATGGCTGATTACAAAATGTTTATTGCAGTTTACAGTAAGAATGATTATCTAAAGGTCTAGGAGCCAATTATTTGTCTCTTTCCATTTTTCCAAATATACTTGACTGTACTGTAATTTCTTCTTTTTCTTTTCTTTGTAAATTTTCTTTTTCTGTACTGGATTGATTGCTCATTTTGAATTAGTATAAGGATTAAATTATTAATTCTCTACACATATCAAGTGTATCCAAATGTTCAAATCAGTATTGGAAATAATGGAAATATTACATCAAAACAGGAAGTGCAATACAGCTGTGAATTGTAAACTTCAAAATACAAAAAAGTTGCTACCAAATGTAATCAGATGAAATTATCAATCCATCTATGTGATGATATTGTAATCACAACATTCTTGGAATTTTAAAATAAAATGCTTTGATGTGTATGAATGTGAGGTGGAAAAAAGAAAATATCTTACAAGCAAAAGAAAAACATAAGCCATAAAATGTACAAAAAGATGTAAACCTTACAAGAAAAACATAAGATCTGGCAACCCTATAAATAAGAAACATTGAAAAGTTTCTGTTTGAGTGCTATTGGAACTGGTAGAGTCACTCCATTTAGAAGAAATTGTCAGTGGATTAAGGCTAGTGTCCCATTAATGAACAAAATTAAAGAACCCCATCTAGTAGAAGTTGGTTTGACTGCTGCATAAAATGTCTGATACAGCCAGCCTTCTTCATGTCTTTGTATAACTGGAACCATTGTCTTTTTGGGACTTTTTCAGATAACTGAAGGCAAAAATTGCATGGCAAGAGATTCAGACTGTATGATGGGTGCTTTGGAGTCTCCCATTTAAGACTGTTGTAACCTTTACAGAACTTTGCATGCCATTCCATACAGGGCTGGCCTGAAGAAAAGCAGGGCCCACTGCAAAGTTGGCTTGCAGGGCATTGAAACAAATTTCGTACAACAAAACAATAATTTATTGCATTTTGCTATTTATTAGACCACACATATTGATATAG